GTTTAGTCTGGATTGGGATGGTAGCACGGAACAGGGAATGTTTTTTTTTATTCCAAATAATTTTATTCAGAATTATAAATGAAAGGAATAAAAGCCAACACAGGCTACAAAAATACAAACAGAAAAATACAAAAGAAAAGAAAAAAGGGTGAAAAAGAAAAGAAAAAGAAAAAGAAAAATAGAAAAGGGAAAAGGGAAAAGGGAAAAGAAAAAAGAAGTAACTTCCCCCTTCATCCCAGCAAGTAAAGACAATCTTAGTAGCTTATCACTATCTCTGAATACAACACAATCTCTCTTCAACCCATATCTCATCTATTGAATTAAAAAAAAACAGAAAAACAAAATCCAAATGCTTCATCAGTTGTTCTTTATCAGCAAAGTCCAGTAAGGGCAATCAGATTTTTGTCCTTTAGCTCTGGTTGCATAAGCCAACATTGTATTCCTTCCCTGAGTTTTTAAAAATATATTTTTAACTCCTTCAAAAAGAGTCCCAGAGCTAGTTTTCTGTTCATCTGTGTTTCAAGCCAAAAATCTTTCAGAACTTTAGCAGATCGCTTTTGTATATCCAATAAATAAAGTTTGTCCTTTTGTCACTTCCAATAAAGTCCTTCAAAACCTTAACAGAACTCTTTTGCATATCCAGTAAAAAAAAATTATCCAAGTCAGTTTCCTGGTTCAGTATTTATATATCTCCTTTTGGGAATAAGTCATCCATCAGTTCCATTTGTGTGTGCATATCTTTCTCCATATCATTCTCATTACTTGTTAAATTTAAGTCCCCCTCAAAGTAATTTCAGAATCATCCATTGCAACTTGTTCTGCAATTTCATTACAACATGCTCTGTAAATCTTGTCAAGAAATTCATCTATTTCATCAAGAAGCTCAGCAGACAAATACTCCCATGGTTGTATTATAGATTTCTGCTCCATTTTCTTTATCCTCCACCTCCCTCTAGTGTCCAACCTTCAAAGTCCCCTTATCATGAAAAATATCAAAAAACCCAAAACAATCGCCATTTTTTTCCATGAGAAAATTCCTTCTAGTTAATTCAAAGCTCTTTGTGGACATTTAAAATTATAAACCCAAGTCCATCTGAGCCCTTAATCCGTTGTTAAACTTTCTAAAGTCCACATTCTGAGCACCCTTTTGCTGCTTAATCCAAAAAGTAATATTTTTCAAAAGGTTATAAAAATTGTATTTAAAAGTTCTTCCTCTAAGGAGAAGGTGACTCACCTAGCAAGTACAATATAACTTACCGTTCTGAAGGGTCTTAACCCTTTTAAAGCAGCATAAAAAAACAAAACAAAAAAACCCAAATCCAAAGTCATTAAGAAGTGAGGCTCAGTCGAGCTTAATGTCCTTTAAAAAGGCTGCATTAATGACTGGGAGCAAAGTCAGTTCCTCCCTCGACTCCCAGCTGCCTGACCCACAGGCAAACTGCAAAACAACTATTCCTGCTGTTTCCTCACGAGGAGAAGCTGTGCGGAGTCATGTGAGCTATCTCAAAAATCTCTCCTTAATCTGGAAAGATTTCAGCAGCCAGGATCCTGCATCCCACACCATTGTAACACCATGCCACTGCAAAAAGGGATGTTTAACTCGCCATGGCTCTCAACCAGAAGTCAGAATAGGGGGTGGGTTTGGACCATCTGCTTCTCTAATAATCTTCTTGCATATGTGGTGGGGTCCATATCATGGTGGTGCTGATCGGTTGTTTGTTTTAATCTGGGCTGCTGTATATATTATTTAAACCTTGGCCATATATTCCACCTGTTGATTCAGATGGAGCTATAAGTGCAAGAGCACTTCCCACTTGCAGACCTGCTCCTTCATAAAGAGTGCCACCTCTCTCTCTCTCTCTCCCCTACATTTTTAACATGCACAATTAACATAACAATATTTAAACTTAAAGGAAAAGAAACAGAAACAAAACCAAAAAAACTCAAAACCAACCCAAACAAGCTAAGAAATAGAGAAATAAAGCAAAAAAAATCTACCTTATATATTATACTTATCAATAGTTACTGGTTTATAGTAAATGCACTACTATAGTATAATGAACACAAAATATGATTCTAAAATATCAAAAAAATTCTGCCAGAGTAACACGTATTGCTGCATCCTTTGATTAATAGAAAACATTGCCTTTTCCAAAAAAAAATAGATCACACTTTTCTGACAGCCATTCCTTCACATCTGGGGTAATCACTTTTCCAATTTCTCAGTAAGATTCTTTTAGCCACATCCCATGCTTTATACAACTATAATTCCTTATAAACAGTCAGATTCCAAAGCTTTGGTATACAGTTCAACAACACATTAATATCTAACATTTGAAGATTTTCCCATAAATCTACGTATATGCATTAACACACAATTCCAAAAAGGTATCAAATCATCATATGACCATATCATATAGGTCAGTGAACCCTCAATTTTTTTACACTTCCAAAATAGAAAATCTGATGTCCACATCTGTAGAGCCAGCAGGGGACTGTTTGCTGGACATACTGTCACTCTATCTTCCCAAGATGCAATTTAATCTTGTTTTATCTCATCCAGACTCTTGTAGTGTCCATATATCAGATAAGGACATCCACAGCATTCTCTCTTTGTCTCCAGGTGAAGATTTGCAGGTAGGTTTCATCAACATATTGGTGATACTTCATCCAAAACTGATGGATGACCTTCATGTTAATGTTAAAAACCATGGAGGAGAGCACTGAGTCCAGTAACATGCAAAAGAAACCATGGGCTTGACTGTTCATCTCCTAGTGCTATCAGCTGGTACCATCCACCCAGGAAGAAGTGGGATCAGTATAACACAATAGCCCCAATTCCTAACCTTCATAAGTGCCCCATGAGAATACTATCATCAGTTCTATCAAAGGCAGTTGAGACATCTAAGACAAAGAGTGTTGCACTCCCGCTATCCAGTTGATGAATTCTGGCTGAAAGGGTTCAGAAGAATGAACACTTGCAGAACTCCAATAATTCATCCCATAGGACGTTTTGACAACTATTTAGGAGAAAGAGAGTATTCTTCCATACATCAACAAGTATCTATCAGCTGAGGCTCAAATATCCATGACGTACTAATTTCCACTTTGTTGTTTTCTTTAATTATGTAAAGCACTGAAAATCAAGGTTGTCTCCTGAATTCTAATATAACAGCAATGTTACTTGCTTTAGTTTGTTATTAGAATCTTTACATGTAATAACTTTTTGGAAGAATAAAAACTTTCCAGATTTCTAGAAATCAAATTTAGAGCCAGAAAGATTTTTATTATGCTTGACAATTTCACCACAACACAAGCAGAACGAAGATGATTCCCCCACCCAATCATATTCATCTGTACAAATAGTCAAAGTGTTTTTACAGATGTATTAAGATCACAAATAATACACTCTTGCCTGTAACACATTCATCGTATCTAGTATAACAAAATCATACATTTCATGACAGTTTTATGGCACATTTAGCTGTGCAAATATGTAGATGGGGAAAGGGGAATTGAAAAGAGCCAATGGCCTATGACTCTCATACTAAAAGGACAGCATTCAACAATTACAAATTTCTGGAATCAAAACCAGTACTTGATATTCAGTATGACGAATGAGCTTCTGGTCACTTAACTTTATTGAAACTATTCCATGAGAATTCCAAAATAAGGCTACCTATCATCTCAATACTTCTATTAAAACACACACACACACACACACACACACTTTGTGAAGCCAAAGTTTAAGGTTTCAAGACAAGACAGAAGAATATATGGTTGCAACTTGCAAGTAGCAGCATTATTGGAGAAGCCAGGAGAAGCAGCTTGCATCTCCCTCTGGAATTGGTACCAGTTCCACTCCATAAGTTTGTCATTAGAAAATGCTGTGCCAGGGATGCATTAGGAACATTGGCATTCCTCAAAGAGACTAAATGTGTCACTTCAACAACATACCCAGACAGGGTTGGCATACATCCCAGGAGGCTGAGCCTGCAAGTGTGGATCTCTCAGCCAGCAAAATCATTGCTCAGTTATTGCTATCAGTGGCATGGCAAATATTTTACAACATTATAGCTCTACAGGGTCTATGAGAGCATAGTTATACAAATATGTAGCCAAGCACTACTTAAAGCTTTGTATGTTTTATGTGATAAACAGCAATGGCGTTTTGGAAAGCAGGAGAAACAAAATCTGACTACTTGTGGCTTGCACTTGGGTTCATGCCCAGATTATGGTAAATAAACATAACCAAGCAATCACATTTGCACTCCTTGGGTTCTCCTGAGAATTCTGATTTCCATGTTTTTTAGAAGTTCCAGCACTGCAACAATCTCGGTGTTTTAAAGCAGGCAGCTTATGTCTCGTTAATATGTGGAAAGTGGCTTAAGGGCAATATGAGGATCTTTTCCCCTACTTTCCAGTTCTTCAATCAGTGACTGAACACACTGCTACTAGACAGTCCTAATTTTATGGTTCAGTAAAGCAACGTCTAGGAAAGATTCCCACCAGACTTATGAAAGAATACAGAATTCCTTTAAGCTTTCTTCTATAAACTTTTCTCACTTGGAAAGTTAAGGTTTTGTAAAAAGGGCAGGCAATAGTACATTCTCTGTCTCCCTTTTTGCCAATCTTTCCAACCTGGTTTCCTCCAGATGTGTTGGACTCAAACCTCATAATCCTTAAGTAGTACAGCATCTGGAACACAACAAATTATTGAACACTACATTCACTGAAGTATGAGACGTAAATCAATCAAGCAGTATGGTATCTGTGTAACTAATGTGTCTGTGGATACTTCCATGACCCTCTTGAAGTGCAACCAACCGCTCCCCTCTCCTCCTCCTCCTCCTCCTCCTCCTCCCCCTCCCCCTCCCATCCATCCATCCATCCATCCATCCATCCATCCATCCATCCATCCATCTCAATGACCACAGCAGACTAGAATCTGAATAAAACACAGTAATATCTTCGATTTGCAGCTAGAAGCATCAACTTACCAGGCTTTAACATGATAATGAAAACCCATGTTAGCAAACGTGTTTCATTAGAATTTTAATTTTGAAAGTTCTCTGTACTAGGCATTGCCATCACCATCTTCCCTTATAAATTTTACTTTTTCCTGGGAAAAAGTTCAATTTTTATGAAATAAGAAATGCTCATAAATATAAGAATTTAAAATGAAGTTAAAAGAGCATAAACTAAATAGTTTAGAGTAGATAGAGCTCTCCAGGGTCCAGCTGGTAAAGTTAAATCTTTCTGTGAAATTCGCATGCCTCTAATTACTCCAAATCAAGTCCCCAAGTAAGAAGGTGCCATCTGGAAGTCATTAGAGTTATTTATAACGTGTTCACTTCTCCAGTTTACTGAAAAAATCTTAGTTTTGGCACATTTTCCACTGTTCTCCTCAAAATAAAATTGAAAATGTAGTTTAATTTTATTGGATGTATATCTCAAAAGATGTATGAAATCACCAGATAACTTTTGGACATCATGATTACTTATAATACCACTCCCTGCTTTCACTGCATTTATTGTAATGCAGTTTATTTTAAATTTTGTTAAAACAATGGAATTTATCTAGTTTCTCATTCATCTAATCCAATCCTATGCTCAGTGAAGGAACTCATCAGTGCTTCCCAGCACTGGTAACTTCTAGGTGTGTGGCCTTCATCCAAAGCCATATTGGCTGTGGAATTCTGGGATTTAAAGCCCACACAACCTGGAAATAGCCACGATTGGGAAGCAGTGCCCTAAACCATCCCAAATGGGTGATAACCCCCCCATCTCCTTTTATTTCAATTTGTTGTCCTCTTGTCCTGTTCTTGTTTCAACAGAGACAGCCCTCTCATGTATGTATTTCTCATTCCTTAGTTATTTAGAACATTTTTTGCTGATAAAATAACCACAGAACTCTAACATAAGTAAAGAAATCAGCTAAGAAAAATTGCTGATTACATTGGTATTCCTTTTTTTTTTTCTTTTAAAAAGATGGTTGCCTCTTTGTGTGCCCGCACACGCATTTAAGACTTCTGAAATTATTTATTTATTTAGCTTAATCGATCGTCCCTTTGGCAGCAATCCATGTTTGGAAAGGCAAGAAGAGCCAAACTGTCAGCATGCATTATAGCTATATAATGTAGTTTATAGAAATTTCCCTCCAGGGTAATCAGGTAATGATAATCTATAAATGGAGCAGAATGATTGATAGGCAGATAAAGAATTCCACAAAGTAACACTATAGACTATTAAAGCCAATAGCTAAGCACACAAAAGGTTGCGCTGCTCCACAGCTTTTACTTGGACTCAAACCCTGTAATGAACTCCCTGTGAGCTGACCCCAGAATATACAAAGACTTGGCCACCTGCATACATCATTAGCATGAATTAATAGCTTCCTCTGTACACTTCTACAATCAGTTTGTCTGGCATGCATAAGATTGCAACATTTAGACAGTATTCTTTGAAATGCAAATATATTTCCACTATCAAAGCTTTTTTAAAAGGTCAGATACATTTCATCACAATAGCATGAATAGTACATGAAGAAATATATTAGACTCGATCTAGATCTGCTTTTATAGAGAAATGGGTAAAGTCACATTGCTCCATGTTTCTCCAAAAGTACTGGTCCCTGTCTAATCACTTCTACAGGTGATGGATCAAAATACACAATGCAGCTATATCTCTGTATTTCTCTGAGAGATGGATGTGAGGAAACATCCCTTCCACACCTTTCCTTCAGGTCAGATGGCATGGCCAGATGGAGAAAAAAAGGTATTTTTGTGAAGGATAGCATGATAAAGGAATTGTGGCCTATAAGATGAGCATACTTTGTCATTTCCCAGTTTATTAATACTTAAAATATGAAATTCCAGAGGGTGGAAGAGGATTTGATACTTCTACAGTGTCACTCAGTGTTGTCCAAACTTGGCCACTTTAAGATGAGTGGACTTCAACTCCCAGAATTCCCCAGCCAGCATGGCTGGCTGGGG